TCTCTCTCTCTCTCTCTCTCTCTCTCTCTCTCTCTCTCTCTCTCTCTCTCACACACACACACACACACACACACACACACACACACACACATGCCGGACCAGAAACTGACCAGTGTAAAGGTGTCACCTTGCAGCTGCAGTGTAGGGTGGAGCGCCTGAGGACGAAGCTGGAGCGATGGCGCAAAACAGGTAAGTCTCCGGTAAGTCTCTCTCTGACCTCCTCCCTGTCCCTCTTGTACTCGAACCTACTGCTCTACTCCAATGGTGCTGCTGTGACAGCGCAGCTATGGAGTCCGAACTCCAAGGCCACTCCCGCCGATGACGTCAACCTATGCACCCAGCGCTGAAGACTACAGCCTAACGGCGCCCAGCGCTGAAGACTACCGCTACTACCAGGAATGCTACCTAGGAACTACTCCCCTCACTACTGGGTGCACCAGCTAAATATAGTGCTGGTCCGGCTGCAAAGAGCCTTGCCTCCCGAAACAGGATCTGGCGCCCAAAGGGAACAACGTGGACTGGGCCTAGCAACTAAAGGAAACGGTGCCAGGGCCTAAAACTGTGTCCTAACGACAGACCCTGGACTGAAACGACACTGGTCCTGAAAAGTTGTGAAAACAGACCCTGGACTGCCTACTGTGCCTACGAAAGTACACTAGACTGAGACAGACAACCCCTAGAGCTCCCATTCCTACCATCGGGCGCTGCAGGGGCGCGTGTGGGAAACTGTGCATGCCACATCGGCTGACGGAAAGATTGCATCGCACACGGACACACATTTCTGTCCGGTGAGTCACCAGAGGACGAGCCCTGAAGTCGTTGACCGTGGTCAAACAGCCAGCTCGGGACATGACGATGGAGCGAATACTATTCTTGGATCAAACTTGCCTGAGTTATCCCGAATGAACTATGACAGTTTACATACCATCTGCCGCGAAGAAGGAATCGGCTACGCAACGAAACTTCACGAAAGTGGAGTCAGTATTCGATATTGCCGACATTTCGCGCTGCTGCAATTTGGCGAAGCGTTGCCTATCCCGGACTAGTTTGGGAACCTTGAGAATGACGGAGGGCAATCTAGCCAGGATGAATCGAATGATGAGGCTCGAAGTTTGACTTGGTCTGACCACCGAGCAATGGGTGTGCATTGCTGAAGTTCTGATGTCGTAATGCCAGTCAGATCAGTCTGTTGATGGGAAGGTTGACTTGTTTTTTTGTCTGTTGACTCTTCTTGTTGCTTTGCGCGGTAGAATGTGTTGGCTTAACAAGTGTCTGGATTCGTGGGTCCACATTTGTCACCGGTTTGGCCATGAGTATCTCAATCACCCCAATTGTGTGTATGTGGTCACGTCGATCCGGTGCAAATTGCAGTATGTTGGGCAGACTTCCCTTTGGGGATGTGGTTATGTTCCGAAGGAATCTGAATTTTGTTCTACTATGTCTCAATCAGTGTTGCATGCTGAGCCTGCACACGGGCCCCATTTCAGGGGCCCGACGGTTGCTGAGGGCCCCCCAGGCCGCGTGCCCTTCAGACGCGCACCCTGGAGGCCCACAGCGGCCCTTAGGCCGCAGGTATCGATTTGAGAGTCTTGAGACACAATTCATTTATTTATTTATTTGTTCACTGTCCTATTTTTGTCTGTTCAGACGTCATTTCGGACTTGCAGTCCGCAAGGCCACGCCTTGGGCTGGGTACACCAGGAAGCAGGGCCGTTTGAGGCCAGGCGCGTTTCCGCGCCCTGCTGCATCAGCAGGACGGTCACGCCCGGTAGGGGCCCAGACCGTGTGGGCCATTTCAGACCAACGCAGGAGGCACACCCAGCCGGCCCAGCGCTACTTATAGCTGGGCCACAGCTGAGCAGACACAGTTCGGGTAGCTCACTTCTTGAGCGACATGCTGCTGGACCGGTGCTGCGACACTACGGTGCTGCGCTGGGAGGTAGAGGTAGAGGCGTAGGTAGCCAGAGGGGCGGAGGCCATACCTGCAGCAGCAGTACTTACCTGGCGCCATAGCCGTGCTCCACGCCGGCGACCTACACAGGGACCACAGCGGCAGTTAGTACACTGCGGCAGTTACCTGCAGGTGAGACAGCGAGGAGGACGACATCTTCTTCTTCTTCTTCTTCTTCTTCATCCCGCCCTCCATCTCTTCTCCCTCCTTTCTCCTTCTTCTTCTTCTCCTTCTTCTTCTTCTTCTTCTTCTTCTTCTTCTCTCAGAGAGAGAGAGAGGTTAATGACAGAGGTTACATCGGGCATTGTACCCAGGATCCGATCCGACATTTTGTGGCAGACATTGATTGGACATTCGGCAGGGGACTATTTTTGGACTTCGCTATCGCGATCTTGGTCTTCTCCCTCGCCTCCATCTTCGTCTCGCCTCTTCCCCTATCTCTCGCATCTGTGGTGAGCATGTGCAAGGAGGGACCTTTCTTCTGTGTATGCGATCCCTCCTCCCTCCCTCACATGTGTGGTGCATGATGGAATGTCGTGTTAGTACCAGACAGGTCAGGACATATCTTCGAGTCTTCCACTGTGATACATTGTGCTATTTTGTATGTAACGGGATGTACATTGCTTAATGTTGCTTTGCTGGCATTGCATTGTCCAGTCTAGTCCTTTTCATCACTTCGCAGATCTTGGCTCCATATACATTGCCCAACTGGGCATGTGGATATGCTCTGCAATGAGTGTCATCGGATGGTGATTGTTTGTCACACTTGAAGCCACATCGCGTGACATCGGGGAAAAAAGGCTGGGAACAACTGGTGGTTTAACATGGGCTGTGAAAAGCTTGGAGTGCCCATTGCAAAAAGGGGGCTCGCTGCGCAAGGCAAATCGTATGCGGTGCTAGGGTAGGGTAAAAATAAGGGTTGGGAAAAAGAGGCTTGGAACAACTGGCGGTTTACGTTTGTTTTTTCCCCAAAATAATCAAAATTGCCATAAGTTTGGCAACCTTTTTTTTTTCGAAAGAGTTTATTGAACTTTTTCAAAGCGGGTTGTTTTTTCAAAAAACAACCCGAGCGGATGCTAGGGCTGTGCTGATAAGAGCAGGCACCACTAGCACTCCTGGGGAGGCTCCATCTATTGGTGAGTGGAGCAGCACCTGCTGGAAAGCGGGTGCTGCTTCCCACCAATTAGGCAACCTACTAACTGCTCACTCTTTTTTTTTTTCTTTTTCTTTTTAGGTTATATTTTTTGCCTATAAATTTCGTAATATTATTTGATTATGACTCTATCCCACAGGGTTTGAGCTTTGAGCTGTTTATCTGAATTTTATCAGCAGATACATGTGTGTGGTACTGTGTGCCAGTCAGCCACCTGGCAGGTAGACTGTCATGTATTTGCTTCCGCACCTTAACCTTAAGGAGTAAGGACCTAAGGGTCTCCCCTAAAACCCTGTCAAGTTTCAACCAACTGGCCTAGCACAGTTGGTATACCCCACCTGAACTGAATTCTTGAAATACAGACCCGAGTTCAAACTCCACTGGAAGCAGATGAGTGAAATACTTACTACAGTAATTCTGAATTACCTAGGGCTGAGTGAAATACCACAATTCTGAATTACCGAGGGTTGGTCAATTCGATGATGATATCTCAAGTCCGTCGCGCTTTTTTTTTTTTTTTTTTTT